ATTTATTTCAAAATGCAATAATTGGTTGGTGAAATAGTACCATTTCTTTAACTCTTTAAATGAGGTAATCATTAGTTACCCCTTTTTTTTCTTATCTAAGTATTACCCATGAGATTCTTGGTAGCATGAGACCGCTTTCTTTAGAATTGATTATGACAAATTATCCTATAGTATCTAACATTTACACTGAAAAATATATTGTGACTAACAAAATAGAAGGGGTTTGAGCTGAAATTTAAAAATTATTTCTCTTTTATATTAAGGCAAAATTGATTTTTCTGAGTTAAACAAGACTTATTTAAAGTACACAAACTTGAAGTTTGAGTGTAAGCTCAATGGAAAAGAGGAACTTTGGGAAAAATTACAACATTTGTGGAAGGTACAACTTTTGAGATGCCAATTTGTTATTATAAAGAAGTCATTTAATATCTTTAAGGAATCATAACATCCTAAAAAGTCTGATAAAATTTTCTATTAATGTTATTGCTTCCCAGGTGTTAAGTGGTATATAGCTTCATTTAGTCAACTTTTATTAAAATAAGGGTTAGGTTCTTTACTATAAGATTAAATTAAGCTCTATAAAGAAATTTATTGGAAGTGAGATGGTCAAAAAAGGCACAAATAGACAGAACCTATCTTGACATAAGTTTTTCCTAAGAGGGGCAGTGGAGTGTAGTAACACTCTTGTCCGAGCTGAGAAAATAGCCAAATCTTGCTATACCATAATCTGTGGTATAAAGGCTTACATCATTATTCCAGAAAAACTTTCAGCCACAACATATGTGTTTCTGTTTAAGGGAATATATATTTTTTAAAAACTTATTTTGAAATGTATATATATATATTTTATTATAACCATAGGTTAATAGAATTTTTCTTAGATAAAATGTGGAATTTTATAAAGGGTTCTGAAAAGAGGACATAATTGTGTAGTCTTGTCTGAAAATAGAAGATACCTAGATAAAAGTCTTATCCACTTCATTTTTAGATTCTTGGGAAATAATTTGGATTTATATGAAGCAAATAAAGATGAATATTATTCCAATATTATAGAAATATCAGCTATTAGTATCTTGTGGGTTTTATAATTAATAAAACAAATATTTTTTAAATCATTTTCTATTTTATGGGTAAAAAAACTAAAGAAAAGTGTAATTTGCAGTTTTAGATTCAGTTTGTGACAAAATTGGTAGCATAGTGATGGTCTCTTTTACTATAAATGAAACAATTTAAAAATTTATTTTATTAAAAATACTTATTTTGTGTGTCTTATGCCCATACCATTAATGTAGGTACTATCATCTCTCTAAATATTACCTGTAAATGTTGAATTATTTTGATTTTAGGCCTTTATTTCACCATATTTCTCCCTTCTCTCATCTGTAGTCTATTCTGAATCTCTCAGAAGATTCTTCAAAGATTCCCGATGACTCACTCTTCTTAAATAGTGGTGGAGATTCCTTAAAGTCTGTACGGCTCCTCAGTGAGATTGAAAAGCTTGTTGGCACATCAGTACCTGGGCTTCTGGAAAATATTCTTAGCAGTTCCATTTTAGAGATTTATAATCACATCCTTCAGACAGTGTTTCCAGATGAAGATCTGATAACATTTAGCAAGAATTATGTCACGAAAAGAAAATTCAACGATGTTAGTCAAGAGGAAACCAGTGGAAAATCTTTACATCAGAAATCTGTCATGCCTTCAAATTTAGACACCGAGATAAATGCTTTTATTGCACTGAGCAGAGGGAGTCAGATTTTGGCTCTGAATACTACTGTGTTTTTAACTAGGTTTGGACATTTCCCTTCAGCCTGTTCTTCTGATTTAATTTCACAGACTGATATTCAAAATGTGAAAAGCTTAAATCCTTCAGCTCTTATTGGGAAGTCAAAAGATTTGACCTGCGTTGCAAAAGTTTATGAAGATGGAACACCTGTGATAGGGGCTGAGAAAATGGAGTTACATGTGAGGTGGAGGTCAGACACAGGCAAATGTGTAGATGCTTCGCCTCTGGTTGTAATACCAGCTATTGATAAGTCATCTGCAACTGTGTACATTGGCTCCCATTCTCATAAAATGATGGCACTTGACCTTTACTCTGGGAAGGTGAACTGGGAACAGATTTTGGGAGATCGAATTGAATCCTCAGCATGTGTATCTAAGTGTGGAAACTTTATTGTAGTGGGTAAGTTTTTGAATTAGAAGTTTATAGAGTTAAATTTAATTACTATATGATAATATACCATATGGTAATGGTAGTAGGACTAAGTTAAATTAAAAAAAAAAACTGTATATGGTGGCAGATTTGGTTGCAGTCAAAGAATAGTTAACTATCTGCTAATTGTCACAGTGTGGGCCTTAGGTCAGAGTCCTTGGGTCTGAACCTACCTCTAAAGCTGTTATCAGCTCTCTAATCTATGACACATTGCTCAACCTCTTAGAATTTCAGTTTTCTCATGAGTATATGGGCATAATAAATAAAACATGCTGCTGCATCTCAAATTATCCCCAAACTAATCATTTAGAGTAACAAACTTTTATTATCTCACAGTTTCCGTGGGTCAGGAATTTAGGAGCAACTTAATTGGAAATTTTGGCTCAGGGTTTCTCATATGGCCGCAGCCATCTGAAGGCTTGACTTGGGCTGAAAAATCTGCTTCCAAAATGGCTACTCACATTGCTGCTAGCAGGAGGCTTCCATTCTTTGCTGGTTCTTGGCAGGAAGCTCAATTTCTTGCCACATGGGCCTTTCCATAGGCTGCTTGAATGCCCTCACAGCATGGTAGCTAACTTTCTTCAGAGTGGATGATCAGAGAGAGTGAAAAAGAGAGAGAGGAAGAGAGGAGGAGGGGAGAGAAGGAGGGAGGAGAGAGGGAGAATTGGAGAAGGGATTCAGTACTTTTTTGACTTAGTCTCCAAAGTTGCATACCATAATTTTTACTTTTGTTCATTAGAAGCACGTTAAGTCTGGCCCATACTCAGGGCATGGAGAGGGAGAACTAGGCTCTTGAAAGGAAGAGTATCAAATAATTTGAAGACGTATTTGAAAACCACCACAATCATCATGGAGCTTTTGAAATGATTTAATGAAAGATACAACATAAATCTTTTAGTATATTGCTAGGCACAGACAAGTGCTCTTTAGTGTTAGCTACTACCTGCTACTCAGTTTCATTAAATTATAGGTGACTTCTACTTTACTAGGAATGTGGGGGTCCAACTGTAATGCCTCCCTTTTTTACTCCCCCAACTACATTAGGTTTTACTATATATGGTCATAGAATCTGTTCATCAAAGCTTTTCAGACAGCGCTTAGGAATATATCTCCCTACTAATGCTGTCCTAGCTGGGATCTACTTGAATCTCTGTTTGATCCTTCTCTTTTGAACACCTACATTTTGCAAATTATACTACAGGAAACTTTCAGTTATATACCTCATCCACGATATTTGCCATCTATATCTTTTATGAAGTGTCCATT